AAAAAAAAAACTAATTCTTATGGATTTTCATAATTAAGCCAGTGGGTTTTTGTATAATGTATTGTTGGAGTGAGGAATTACTGTTTATATATAATTATTTATTCTTCTTTTTGTTAATTGAAGAGAAAGGTTCACCAAGTGAACGAGGGAGACATCTGAGTTTACAACAGAATTTCGATAGAGAGAATGCTGATGAGGCACTGAAGGATGAGGTGCGTACCCTGATTTTTTTTCGTTCCTTGAAAATCATGATTTGTGTGGTGTCAAATTGTTTAATGAATCTTATAATTTACAATCTTATTCTAGATTATTCTGGATTAGTAGGGTTTTCCCTTAGTTCTATAAAGGTAAATGATTCATCATTACAGGTGTGCATCTCCATTTGGGGTGATCCTACGATACAAATATGTGCATGTTTCAATCTTTTATATTCCCTGATTGTATTATACATTATCTGTGTGCATTTGGTTCGTCATGCTACTAGTTTGTGAAGTTAAGTACGATAGGTCCGTAATACATAACAGTTGTCCTTATATGTTTCTCTTGCTAATTTTATTGCCAATGACAGACTGAATATCACACTGTATAGATTGAATTATACTATGTGTCAGTTGGTATTACAGATACCGAGACATATATTATCTTTTGTATTGGTGGGATTCTGTAACTTTACTGATATTGAAACATATGTTATCTTTTGCACTAAATAGGAGTCAGATCCTAGCTCAAAATAATGCTAAGTGCTTTTTTGATTCGCCATATATATGTTGTCGAGATAACAGATTTTAAAGTGTGACAGTGTGTATATTTATCTTCCATTTGGTTGAAGAAAAAAATTGATAAAATTGTGGGTTGTAGTCCATAAAATTCATGGTTTTATATGAAAGAAAACTTAATTTCCATTTGGTCGAAACTAACTAAAATAAACTAAAATCATAGGTTATAGACCGTGCAAACTGCGAATTTTGAGGTATGTATAATTACTTGCCATTAGGACAAAATGAACAAAAATTGTCAAAGCCATGAGTTATTGACCCGCTTCAAATAATTATAATTAATTTGCCACTGGGTCGAATGAACGATAATGGACAAAAATCATTGGCTAAAGCCCATTAAATCATTGAATATTGTAGTACGCATAATTAATTGCTAAATAGTCTTAATAAACAAGATGGACAAAAATCATGGACTAATCTATGAAAATCATGGATTTTGAAGTAGCATATTCATTTTCCATTGGGTCGAAAAACAAAATTGACAAAACTGTGGGTTGCTCATGAAATTTATGATTTTTATGAAAGAAAATATAATTCCCAATTAGTCAAAACTAATGACAATAAACTAAAATCGTGGGTTATAGCCAATATAAACCACAGTCATGGACTATCCCACGAAAATTGTGAATTTTTAAATGCACATATTTATTTGTCATTAGGTCAAAGAATGAAATGGCAAAAAAAGTGGTTTAAGCCCATTAAAATCGTGAGTGGATGTGAGAAAGTTCAATTGTCTGAACTAACAAATTAACTACAATTGTATATTACAGCTCATGAAATCATTAATTTTTAAATATTGAAAAAAATTGCCAAAATCATGAGCATAACCCACGAAAATCACGAATTTCAAATTAGGCATAATTAATTGTCATTAGATCAAATGAACAATAATGGAAAAAAATCATGGGTTACAACACATGAAAATCGCGAAAGTTGAACTAAGTATAACTACTCGACATTAGGACGAAGAAGATACAAAAAAGTTTTGAAATTTGTGTGTTATAACCCACCAAAATCATGAATTTTGAACTAGTCATAATTAATAGCCCTTTGGTTCAACTGAATAATAATGGAAGGGGATGATTGGTTTTCTCCCATGAAAACCGCGAATATGGAATTTTGCACAATTGATTGCTTTAATTGTCGAAACTAACAAAATGAAAAAAAAAAATCATTGACTATAATCGTAAATATTGAAATATGCATATTTATTGGTTATTAGGTGGAAGAATGAAAATTAAAAAAAAGATGTACTAAAGCCCATGAAAAATGTGATTCTTGATGAAAGAATATCCAATTGCTATTAGGTCAAAATTAACAAACATATTTCTTTCTCACTGGATCAAAGAATGAAATTGACAAAAAAAAGGTTATAGGCTATAAAAATGACAATTAAAAAATCTTATTTGCCATTGGGTCAAAAATAAAGAAAAAAGATAAAATCATGGGTTATTGCCAACGAAATACACGAAATGAAATTTACACAATTATCCACTAAATGGTCTAAACTAAAAAATAGTCTAAAATAATGGGCTATCTTGAAAGTCATGAGTTTTGAGTCCTCATATTTACTTTCAATTGGATTGAAGAATAAAAATTAACAAAATTATGGGTTAAAAGCCTATGAAAATCACGATTCTTGACGAAGGAAAATTCAATTGCTATTAGAATCGAAACTAACGAAAATAGATTAAAATCATGGATTATAGCCCGTGAACCACAAATTTTGAAGTACATATAATTACTTCTCTTTGAAATAATATTTTTAAAATAATGGGTTATAACGCAACAAAATTGTGAATTTTGAAATAGTTATAATTAATTGTGTTGGGTCAAATGAACAATAATGAAGAATAATTGGGTGTTGTGTATATGCACAAGACCATCTCAACATTCTCATTTCTGCTACACATTTTTTACACATATTGTTTTTTAATTGCCAACATTCTAATCCATAAAGCATTATTGGCTTTATTATTGTCCTATAAAATTTTTCCTTAAGTCCAATAGGCATTCTACGATCACACAAGACTCCCAAAGAACTCCTCCATTTTAACTATCCTAATTTGATTCAATTGGCAATGTCATCCTCAATCTCAACATCATGGTGAATGAATTATTGGTTCTAAATAATGAAAAAAAAATCATAGACACCCATGAAGAACAAACTTGACAAAATCCTGAATTTAAAGTTGTATACTTACTTGATATTAGAAAAAAACAACCAAAAATAACCAAAAAGTTGCAAAAATCGTGAGTCATAACCCACCAAAATTGCAAATCTTAATTAATCATAATTAATTTCCCTAAGGTCAACTGAATGATAATGGACAAAAATCGTGCATTATCCCATGAAAATTGTGAATATTAAAATTTACACAATCACTTGCCAAATGGACAAAAATCATGGACTATAGCCCATAAAAATTATGAATCTAGAAGTATGAATCTTCCATTGGATCGAAGGATGAACATTGACAAAAAAAACTAGGGTTACAACGCATCAAAATCGTGATTGTTGATGAAAGAAAATTCAATTACAGTTAGGTAGAAACTAATAAAAATAGACTAAAATCATGCATTATAGCCAATGAAAATTACAAATTTTAAATAGTCATAATTAATTATCATCGGATCAAATGAATGATAATGGAGAAAAATCATAGGTTGTGCTTATGAAAATCTCAAATATTAAAGTTCACATAGTTAATTGCTACATGGTCAAAACATACAAAATGGACAAAAGCTATGTATTATAGCTCATGAAAGTAACGAATTTTGAACTATGCATATTTATTTTTGATTAAGAACAAAAATTGATAAAATTATGGGTTATATAGCCCATGAAAATTGTGATTTTTGATGAAAGAAAATTAGTTGTGACTTAGTCGACACTAAAAAGGTAAAATTAAAATAGTGATATATAGGCCATGAAAATTATGAATTTTAAAGTACGTATAGTTACTTGACATTAGAATGAAGCAAATAAGAAGTTGTGAAAATCATGCGTTATAACCCACTTAAATCACCAATTTTTAACTATCACGGTTAATTAACTTAGGGTCGACTAAATGATAATGGACAAAAAGCAAGAGTTATAGCCCATAAAAATTACGAATATTGAAGTTCGCATATTTATTTTCTATTGGGTCAAAGAATGAAAATTGATTATATGATATGAAAATCATTATTTTTGAAGAAAGATAACTTATTTTTCATCGAGTCGAAACAAATGAAGATTGATAAAAATTGTAGCTTGTAGCTCGTGAAAATTGAAATACTAAAATTTCACCAGTAATTACTAAATTGTCAAAACAAAAAATGATAAATAATAATGGACTATAGCACTTGAAAATTATGAATCTTGTAGTATTCATATTTATCCCATTGTATTGAAGAACAAAAATTGATAAAAAAATGTTGGTTAAAGTCCATGAAAATCATGTTTCTTGATGAAAGAAAAATTCAATTGTCGTTTAATCGAGACTAACGAAAATAAACGAAAATCTTGGATTGCCCATGAAAATTTTGAAATTTGAAGTACCTAAAATTACTTGATATTATGAAAAATTTGCTAATATTGTAGGTTATAGTCCACAAAAACTGCGAATTTTGAAGTGTGTAAAGTTACTTGCCATTAGGATGAAACAAATAAAAATCTATGAAAATCTTGGATTATAGCTCCACCAAAATCACAATTTTGATGTATTCATATCTAATTGCCATTGGGCCAAATGAACGATAATGGCAAAAAAACATGGGCTAAAGCCCATGAAAATCGCAAAGATTGAAGCTTGCATAATTATTTTTTAAATGGTCGAAATGAACAAAGTGGATAACAATCATGGACTATAGCCCATGAAAATAAAAAATGTTGAACTAGTCACATCTAATTACCATAGGACAAACGTTAATGGATAAAAAGCGTGAATTATAGCCCATGAAATCGCCAATATTGAAGTTGAAAAACTTAATTGGTAAATGATTGAAACTATTAATATGGACTTACCCATGAAAATTGTGAATATTTAAGTTCGGAGAATTAATTGCTAAATGGTTGAAACTATTAAAATGGACAAAAGTCATGGATTGGAGCCTATGAAAATCATAAACTTTGAAGTATGCATATTTATTTTCCATATGGTCGAAGAATTAAAATTGACACAAACATGAGTCGTAAGCCTAGAAAGTCGCGACTTTTAAGAAAGAAAACTTATTTTCTATTATGTTGAAATGAAGAAAATTTGACAAAAATCATAAGTTATTCCTACATGTTAATCGCAAATATTGAAATTTGCACAATTAATTACTAAATGGTAGAAATAAAAATGGTAAAAAATAATGGACTATAGCCATTGAAAAATATGAATTTTGAAGTACTCACATTTATTTTCCATTAGGCTAATGAGCAGAAATTAACAAAAAAACGTGGGTTA